GCTTGCCAAGTTGCCCGGGCAGGTCTCGAACCCACAGGCTCAGGCAATCCACTCACCTCGGCCTTCCAAAGCACTGGGATTACAGGCTGAGCCACTGAGCCCAGCCGCCAGCTAACTTTTTTTATTTATTGTAAAGATGAGATCTCACCAAGTTGTCCAGGCTGGTCTGGAACCCGAGGGCTCAGGCAATCCTCTCACCTTGGCCTCCCAAAGTGTTGAGATTATAGGCTTAAACCACTGCTCCAGGCCTGCAAATAGATTTTTGAAGGAAAGGAAGAGGCAGGCGGTTCCTAAATCATTTACCAGAAATTTACATTACAGTAACCAGCTAATTTGTCGGGCGGGGTGGCTCAGCCTGTAATCCCAGCATTTTGTGAGTCCAAGGTGAGAGAATTGCCTGAGCCCCGGGGTTCCAGACCAGCCTGGGCAACTTGGTGAGACCTAGTCTCTACAATAAATTTAAAAAAAAACTAGTTAGGTGTGGTAGTGTGCATCTGTAGTTCCAGCTATTTGGAAGTCTGAGGCAGAAGGATTGGTGAGTGTGCTACTGCACTCCAGCTTGGGCAACAAGAGTGAGATTCCAACTCAAAAAATAAATAAATAAATAACAAGCTACTGATTGGGTATGTGTTGTTTTTTGTATCACAGATTTTAAGAACATGAAGATAATGGGTTAGGCAACACAGCTCATCAGGAACAAAATGCCTTTAAACAATTGCCCTTAGGCGTTGGGGAGGGAACATCTCAACTGAAGTCCCATATTCACTTTTCTCTGACCCTGACGAAAATGCTGTCTACCCCACATAGTTCAGACTACTCAGCTATTTTTTTCTCACTGTGATAAAGTTTATTTTATAAATTAGGTACAGTAAAAGATTAATAACAATAACTAATAATAAAATAGCACAATTATAACAGTGTTCCAGCATCACAGCCAAGGAACTACAGATAAGGGGGGGGATGGCTAATGACTGTAACAAAATTTACCATCTAAACCATTTTAAGTGTACAGTTTGGTGGTATTAAAAACTATCGTAATGTTGTACAGCCATCCTTTTTTTTTTTTTTTGAGTTAGAGTCTGGAGTGCAATGGCACAGTCATGGCTCATCACAGCCCTGTCTTCTTGGGCTCAGGTGATCCTTCCATTTCAGCCTCCTGAGTAACTGGAACTACATGCCACCACGCCTGGTTAATGTTTTTATTTTTTGTGGAGCCAGAGTCTTGCTATGTTGCCCAGGCCGGTTTTGAGCTTCTGAGCTCAAGCAGTCCTCCCACCGCAGCTTCTCAAAGTGCTGGGATTACCGATGTGAGACACTATGCCCTGGCTTCTCTCTTCATCTTGTAAAACTGAAACTCTGTACCTATTAAACAGTAGCTCCCCATTCCCCCTCCCCTCCCCAACTCCTGGCACCTACTATTGTCTTTTCTGTCTCTCTATATATTTTTGAGTCAGTCTTGCCTAGGCTGAACTGCACAGGCAAAATTATAGCTCACTGCAGCCTTCAACTTGTGGGCTCAAGCAGTCCTCCCCCGTCTGCCTCCTGTGTAGCTGGGACTATAGGCACACCCCATTATATTTGGCTAATATTTTTATTTTTTGTGGAGACAAGGTTTCACTATGTTGCCCAGGCTGGTTTTGAACTCCTGGGCTCAAGGAGTCCTCCCGCCACAGCCTCCCAAAGTGCTGGAATTACAAGCATAAGCAGTTACACTCAGCCTACCTGTGAATTTGACTACTCTACCACATATAAGTATAATCATATAATATTTATCCTTTCGTGACTGGCTTATTTCACTTACCATAATGTCCTCAAGGTGTATCCATGCTGTAGCATGTCAAAATTTCCTTCATCCTGGACAATGTAGCAAGATCCCCATACCTAGAAAAAAACATTTTTAAAAAAACTTATAAAAGTGAGGCTGAGTACCATGGCTCACGCCTATAATGTCAGCACTTTGAGAAATGAAGGTAGGAGGATCGCTTGAGATTAGGAGTTCAAGGCCAGCCTGGGCACCATAGCAAGACCTCCTCTCTACAAAAAAAATTAAAAAGTAAAAATTAGCTGTGGCATGCCTGTAGTTCCAGCTGCCCAGGAGGATCAATTGAGTCCAGGAGTTCAGGGCTGCAGTGAGCCATGATCATACCACAACACTGCAGCCTGGACAACAAAAAGAACTTCCTTCCTTCCTTCCTTCCTTCCTTCCTTCCTTCCTTCCTTCCTTCCT